ATGTGCACGCTGCCTTCTTAAACAGAAGAGATTGGACTTCCCTTGGGCTGCCTTGGAGACCTAGTGCTGTCATTGTGGATTCTGGCTACGTGCCACTGCCTGACCCGGAAGGGTGGGCTGTTTCCTCCACCTCAAGGGGTCCCAACTGCTGGGCTTTTATGAGCGGCACATTCTTCCTGCCGTCAGCGTGTCAGCCTCCAGAGCTCTACTGACTCCAGTTAATGTGCTGCTTCTGACGTGCTGCCAACTGGAAGTCAGTATTTGGGAGAGAGAAAATAAACTATGTCTAAGAATGAAAAGATAGACCCTCTTGTGAGCCCTCAGGGGACTCAGTGACATGATGTTGCTCCTCTGGACCTTTCTTTGTGTCCTCTCTACCAGGGAGGACTCCAGACAGGTCATACGTGCTCATGAAGACGTTGCTCTGCTGGTCTCACATGGTTGGAAGGACTTGTGTGAAGTGGTCAGCAAGGAAACTTAGGTAGACATGGAAAATGGGCTGCCTGTGGGAAGCTCACAGGTCTTTTGGAGGGAGGTGATATTTCATTTGTTAACAGGATTCAGGCATAATGGTTTAGCTGAAACCTTCCTCAAGTTCCCTTAAAGCCTTGGTCATCTCTGTTGTTTTTCTCCAAAGAAATCTCTGCCAGTACATTTTTCGTATTACATGCTTATTCATGTGAAGAAGTATGAGTGGTTTTCTAATCTGCTTTTTCTTCGTAGAACCACCACCACCTAAAATTCCCAAAATTGAGACCACTCACCCACCGTTGCCTCCAGCCCACCCACCTCCAGGTAAGCATCTGCCGAAGCAGCTTGGCCAGCTGTGCACATCGCCGCTGAATAGTGGATGCAGCAGGTCCTGGGAGCTTAGAAAAGGAAGACTGTGGGGCCCAGATTGACAGCGTCAGCCACGGGCAGGAATCTTTGCAAAACTGTTCTCGGGCCGGGCGCAATGGCTCGTGTCTTTGATCCCAGCCCTTTGGGAGGCTAAGGCAGGGGAATCACCTGACCCCAGGAGTTCGAGGTCAGCCTGGGCAACGAAGTGAGACCCTGTCCAAAAAAATTAGCCAGGTGTGGTAGCACACGCCTGTAGTCCCAACTATCATTTGAGCCCTGGGCAGTCAAGTGAGCTATGATTGCACCACTGCACTGCAGCCTGGGTGAAAGGGAGGCCCTGTCTCAAAAACAAGTTCTCGTTTTGACCAGGTATTTTGAGAATGTTGTAAATTGTTAAGTATATCTGAATATTCTCTGACCTCTCACATCCAGAAATGCTAAACTACACATTGTATTAGAATCAGTTTTAGGAAAGAAAGCCAAACCCTGCCAACTGAACGTGTATCCAGATGGAGGCAGGGTTACTGTGGCTGCCAGGCTCTGGCCGTCCCCACACCTGCTTCCTGTTGGCGGTGTGTCATCTTATGCATTTTGAAGAATAAGCAATTGTACAGAGTAAATGAAAGAGTGAAAAGTTCTCAACAGGTACATGGTAAGCTGGAAAGCCTCTCTGATACCACTGGAAATAGAAGAGAAAAGCTGTAAAGTAGATGGCATTCTTTACCTGTGGCACCATTTCAGAAGGTGACACACTAGAGAAGGCCTGAGTGACCTGTGTTTTCTTTCCGAAAGATGGTTAATACTCCGGAGGCTTCCGAGCCTCTGTCAGCAGCTCCTCCAGCCTGCTGCACTCACTGTTGGTTGGTGCACGTGGCTCACACTGGGGCTCACAGCACCGTGTGCCCGTAGCAGATGTGCCACAGATTACATTTCTGTTTTTACTCAATCATGATAGTGTTTGTGCTTTGGGAGAACAGAGGCGTCATTTTCCACTTTGGGCCACATCCCAAAACCCCCAATTCAATATGAACTTTACTTAAAAAAATGCTTGCGGCTGCTCGTGAAGCATTTAAGGAGCACCTCCTCGCCAAGTACAGTTCCCCTGGTCCAAGCCTGGGGCTGTGCCTTCACTGAGGAGACGGATGGTTCACCTGGGGATCCCGGGGCGGCCAGAGAGGTGCTGCTGCCTCCAGGGCACTGAGTAGCTGCTGTGGAGGCCTCAGAGCTCTGCTCCCTCCCACATTACAGACAGCCAGGAGTAGGCCTGGGACTTGAGTGGGACCTGGGAACCAGATACACTGCCAGGAGGCCATGGCTGGAAAGAGCAGGGCCTGGGAGGCACAGTAAAGCTGGGCCACGAGGAACGGAGGGAAGCACGCTTCCTGGGAGGCCCTAGACCATGGGAAGAGGTGTTCAGGTCAGCAGTGATGTTTAGGGAGGGGTTTGGTGGCAGTGTATGGCACTTGGTCAGGAGCAAGTGTACAGAGGGAATGGGGTGCCGAGGATAGACCCCCACTTGCTGTTCGAGCTCAGTCACACAGCACAAGGGCGGGTGCACTGGTGACTTGAAGATTCAGGCTGCAGGGTCGAGTGTTGGAAGAGTTGGCTTCTGCAAGGTAGAGGAGCAGGCCTGTGGCCCAGGTGGCTGTGGAATGACACACAGGAGGCATTGAAGGGTGTCAGCGCTTTTCTGCACCTCTTTTTTAGTCAGCTTCTGGAACCACAGGGCATCTGGCCCTGACCTGGAGCCAAAGCCAGTTCTCTAAGGCCAGGCATATATGGCCTTCCTGCCCAGTGGCTGGCGAGGGCTGATCTGCACAGGCAGTCCCCAATGGCACACCTGTTACCAGCCCAATCAATCCTGCTCATGCTCGCTTTGGCAAGATCAAACGGGTTGTGTGCCAATGGCCACGTCTACACAACCAGGATGTCATGCTCTGCCTTCCCTAACCCAAGTGCCTGGGGAACCAGAAGCATCTTCATGGCCTTTGTCCTCTTTATGTTCTCTGGAACCAGAAATGTTGTGCCTATGGTTTGTCTCCTGTGCTGCCTTGGGAAAGGACACTCATTCTGTGTGTTTGGCTACTTGTGGTGGGGTGTTCCGACGCCATTTTCCAGGGGTCTGATGGTGACCAAGAGATCACAGGCCAAAATGTGTTAAATAAGGCTTTGGCGGAAGGGGGCATGAGGGCTCATGGGCTGGGAGGCGCTGCGGGAGGGGCCTGAGGCTGGTTCTGAGCACAAGTATCTTGGGTGTGCTTGACACCTAGTGCTGCCTATCCCTGCTGCATACACACAGCAGCACGCACACACACAGCAGCACGCACGCACACAGCAGCACGCACACACACAGCAGCACGCACACACACAGCAGCATGCACACACACAGCAGCACGCACACACACGAAGCATGCACACACACGCAGCACGTAGCACGCAGCACGCACGCGCAGCACGCTTGCACACACTCCTCTCAAGGAGGCTGCTATCTGAGAGTACGCAGTGGGGTTTGATCTAACCCCTCTTGAGTAGAATAGAACCTGAATTGCTGCTTCGATGGGTACATTGGGAATGTCAGAGACTTGTACGGAATTATTTTAAATGCCATCACATTCATTTGACCAACTCTGAGGCTTTCTGCAAAATGCCACTGCTGCAGACAGGAGTTCAGTGTGGCCCTGACTCTTGGGGTCAGTTTCTGAAGGCAGAAAAACAGAGGAGCCCCCACACATTTTACACTAGGAAGAGGGGGCTGGGGCCAGGGCACAAGGGGGCTTCGTGTGCTGCCGAGACTGCCTGCGGGTGGTGTGGTTAGGGCTGAGGGAGGGAAACCCCAGCTCATCACAGACAGGGTGGAGGGCCTTTTTGACAAATGGTGGGGAGACATCTGGTGGCATCAGGACATGGGGAACGGGCCCATGTGTTGGGCCACAGAGGAAGGGGCAGCTGCTCCCTGCTCCTCTGTAAAGATGGCCCTGAAGGGCCAGGAGGCACTGAAAAAGCAGCTATTGCTTGCAGAGGCCGGGCACCAACACATCTCTCTCCTGCAGACCGGAAGCCTCCCCTCGCTGCTGCCTTAGGTGAGGCTGAGCCGCCGGGCCCTGTGGATGCCACTGACCTCCCCAAAGTCCAGATTCCTCCTCCGGCTCACCCGGCCCCTGTGCACCAGCCACCGCCGCTGCCACACCGGCCCCCGCCCCCGCCGCCCTCCAGCTACATGACTGGGATGTCCACCACCAGCTCCTACATGTCTGGAGAGGGCTACCAGAGCCTGCAGTCCATGATGAAGACCGAGGGACCCTCCTACGGCGCCCTGCCCCCCGCATACGGCCCACCTGCACACCTGCCCTACCACCCCCATGTCTACCCACCCAATCCGCCCCCACCACCTGTGCCTCCTCCCCCAGCCTCCTTCCCCCCACCTGCCATCCCGCCCCCTACTCCTGGCTACCCTCCACCCCCACCCACCTACAACCCCAACTTCCCACCCCCACCTCCACGCCTGCCCCCTACCCATGCAGTCCCCCCTCATCCTCCTCCAGGCTTGGGTCTGCCTCCAGCCAGCTACCCACCTCCTGCCGTGCCCCCTGGAGGACAGCCCCCTGTGCCCCCGCCCATTCCCCCACCTGGCATGCCTCCAGTTGGGGGGCTGGGGCGGGCAGCCTGGATGAGATAACGTGAGCCTTTTTTTCCCCCTTTGTTTTTTTTAACAAGTTTTTCTAATCGACTTGCAGAGTAGTTGAAGTGGGTAAGCAGCAGGGTACCTTATATAATGCGCGACAGTTGCAGTATGGGAAGAATGGACCAGGCCCCTGGGATAAAATCAGGGTGGTCCTCACATCTAGAGGACGGGGACAGCCAGCTTTCAGAGTAGCCTCATCAGCGCCCTTGCAGTCTGACTGTGTACACTTGGTTCAGCTAATGTCTGAGAGTCCTGCACTGGGTTACTTTATACTAGTGAAGATGTTAACCAGCCATATTGGCTCAATAAATAGCTTCGGTAAGGAGTTAATTTCCTTCTAGAAATCAGTGCCTACTTTTCCTGGAAACTCATTTTAAATAGTCAAATTCCATCTGAAGTCAAGCTGTTGTCATTTTCATTCAATGACGTTCTCTCCCATGACACCCAGAAGGGTCAGAAGAACCACATTTTTGATTTATAGATGTTTGCATCCTTTGTATTAAAATCATTTTGAAGGGGTTGCCTCGTTGGATGGCTTTTTTTCCTCCAAGGAGAAGGGGAGAAATGTACTTGGAAAGTAATGTATGTTTACATCTATTTGCAAATTCCTGTACATAGAGATACATTTTTTAAGTGTGAATGTAACAACATACTGTGAATTCCATCTTGGTTACAAATGAGACTCCTTCAGTCAGTTATCCAAATAAAAGCAGTTCTGAAACTATCCCTTTCTCTGTTAATGGGTGGAAGGTAGGGCTCCAGGCCTTCGCAGTCCCCGGGTGATAACATTGTACAAGCCCCTCCTTCCGGACCCTGGGCACCGGGAGAGGCCTGGCTGCAGTTCACAGGAGCCAGAGCCAACCCCACTGCCTCCCAGGGCACTCTGGGTGGATCGGCACATTGGCCTGCCAAGCCAGCCTGCACCCATCCTGTGCCTGCCTTGGTTTCCTTTGGAGGACCTGGTTGAGTTCCAAACCAGCTTGAAACTTTCAAGCCTTGCTGCATAGAACACAGACGGGAACACAGGCTTGGGTTTGAAACCCTTTCCACTTCTGGCCTGCGATGAGACGGAGGCAGCTGGAGGAGCAGCGGCCTCGCCATCCACCTTGAGGGGCCAGGGCTGTGTCTGTGGAAGGGGCCCCGACTGAGCCCCCATCTGAGGTGCTTGAAGGGCCTTGGCCCTGTCTCTGCTTGCTGACCCTGCCACCCATGACGGAAACAAGCACTGAGCACCCAGCCAGGAGGCTCACAAAGAGGCCTTTATTTATCTAGCTCAAAGTAGACACTATCACAATCTTGTTTATTACTCCTTTTACTAAAATAGTTCAAATCAATGTGTTTACCACACTATCAAAAAGTTCTATTCTTGTCTCCCCACGTCAGAGTGGTTGAATAGAAGGTAGAAACAGGCCGGGAGTCCACAGGCTCCCAGCTCTAAACGGCGCCAGGGCAGGAAGGGGTGGCTCCGGGTCTCACTGTGGCACCTTCTACAGAAAATAAGACGTAGCTGCCGGGCCCGGGGACAGAAACCAGACGTTCCAGTCCATCTCCAAAAAGCAGCACAAATACTTTCCCCCCACGGTATGAAAAATATACACCTCTACCGCTCTGCAGTCATGCATTTAGTTTTCTTTAAGAAAAAAAAAAAAAAATCAGTAGTATGTATCTTGTTTCCTCAAGTTTCAAGAAAAAAAAATGAAAGGTCACTTTTTTCTCTTTAAACACTGACGTGTAGCTAGTAACTTGGATAGAAAGGTGCCACCCTACAAAATGTGCTCAGCATGTTCTAAGGCCAGGATGGGCTTGGCCGCTGGGCTGGGGCTAGAAAGGAGACCTCCGTCTGTCACAGTGGAAACGGAAGCCGAGTGCCAGTGCCGCATCCGGCTTCAAGATCAAGCATCAGAGCCTTCGAAATGGAAAGGGGGCATCTGAAAGGGCACCCCCACTGGGGGCTTTCAGAGCTAAGGCTCCAGAAGGAAGGGGTTGCCCTCCCTGCTAGTGACAGAGCCGGGAGTCACCCTGAGCTGCAGTGCCCCCAGGGTTCCCCTGTGGGAAGGCCCATCTGACCCTCTACAGCGCACGGCTCTGCAACCGCCACCTGTATTCAGGTACGTGGCGTCGCTGCTGCTGGCTTTTAAAATCAGCTATTAGTTTGAGATGTGACTGTCACCAACAGAGTTCTGTCCTAGAAAGCCATCCCAGTGCCGTGTTGGCCCAGGGGGCACCAGCTTTGTGCTGCCTCTGTAACAGGCAGGAGGGTTCTCAAAGCAACATTCCACTGATCCTGGATGCCACTGCAGCATTAAAGACAGGGTCAGTCCCCGTGAGGGGGAAAGGTGGCTTCAAGGCTGTTCTCTGGGCCTGTCTGCAGGAGATCCGCAGGTACCAGGAGCCCGGACTTATTGCTTATTTCAGTGGTGGCCAAGCCAACCTGACCCAAACATGATGCACACGGGCTCCCAGACTTGGCTTCCACTCAGAATTGACCCACACCCCTTGGGCTACTCTGCGGTTCTTTGGACTCCAAGACCCAGAAGGGCGTCTGCCCAACTGCCCACTCGGGCAAGAATCACTGGGTACCATGAGCAGCAGGTGTTCACCCCACTTCCCGTGTACACCGCTAGTGACCGGGGAGCGTACCACCTGACCGGGTGACACTCCTTCCCAAAGAATCCAAAGAGCCTCCTGGCGACACCCACAGCAGGAGTGCCACACCATCCCATCACCAGCACCCACAGCAGGAGCACCACACCATCCCATCACCAGCACCCACTTGCAGCCCTGGGGCTAAGATGGGGGGCGTGAGCCTTTCCCCTGAGAGCAAACAGGCCGCGAGAACTGCTCAGGATAGAGCCGCCAGCTCGGGAGAGGGGCAGGGCAGCCACCTCCCTCCTCCTGCCTGCATCCCCAGCCGTGGGCCTGTGTGAGACCTGCTGGGTAGGACCGCAGCCTCCCTGGGCTCTTCGGGTGGGGTTCTGAGCACCTGCTGGAAGACCACAGGAGTCTAATGAGGACCTGGTGAGGTCCTGGACTCAAGAGCCAGGGCTGCTTACAGCGGCGTGAGCGGGTGTGGGGAAGCGCCTGTCCCCGCACTGCGGCTCTGGGATCTCCCGTCATGTGCCACACATCACTTACCCCCTCGGCCTTATTTTCCTCACACACCACATTTTCTATTGCACTTTACAGTTTGTACATGGTCATTTACACGGAAGATCTCACTTGATCCCAGAATCCTGTGAGGAGGGCCTTCTGCTGCCGATTTTACAACGAAGAACACGGGCTCAGAGTGGGGAGGCAACCGTCCACCCGCAGCGACGGCAAGGCAGCGGCACTCAGCTCCGTCCGGCCGCCCTCTGGCCTCTCCAGCAGGTCAGCTGTCGGCTCACACCCCCCAGTGAGGACCCCTGCCCTGTGTGTGCCGGATGACCTGAAGCCATAAGCATGGCTGAAAGGAACCTCAGAGCCCTGTTTCCACCAAGATCCCAGAGAGGCTGAGTGAACTGCTAAAGGTCACACCACAAACTAAAGGCAGAACCTGACCAGACCCCCTCCTTCCCAAAAAGAACAGCTCTCATCTGCAGCCCGGAGAGCTCTGTCCACAGGGACCCGAGATGCAGCCAGGCCCTGGGGGAGGTCACAGCCAACCAGAGCCCCAGCTGTGGCCCAGTGCTGCCCATCAGGAAAATCACATATGGCTCAGCCCAGAAACTCTCCCCAGGCCCTTCCTATGTTACTGGCCTGTCATGTAAACCACAAATAGGGACGTGCCCCAGGCATGGGGCAGGAGGAGCCCAAAAAGGGCATAGCCTGGACAGGGTGGCAGGGGGACATTGCAGAGACTGTGGGGGAGGGGGATGACCTCCAAAAGCAAGGAGCAGCAGGCATTGGGTGGCTGGGTGCAGATCCCCAGGGGTGAGGGCACCCTGAGCTCCAGATATGGGGTCACAGGAAGGGCCCAGGGCAGCCTCCAGCCAGCCACAGACATGGTGAGCGGCCTTGTCCACGTGCCGGGGACCCAGTGCTTGGTGGGCCAGGCCACGGCACGTGGGCGAGAAGTGGTACCACCTGTGTCAAGACCCAGGTAGCGGTGCTGTCCGTCCAGTGTGGGTGGCAGCCGGGGAGTAGAGGGTTTGATGAGTGGCCCCTCCATCCCAGGCGGGACACAGGAGCCTGGACAGTCCCCAGGCTGGATCTCAGAAGCAGCCTCCTGCTCATGGGGCTCAGGGCTCGGGGCCCAGAGAGGGAACAAGGCGTCCGGGCTGCTCTGCTGCAGGAACGGCCGCGGCGTCTCCTTCCCAGGTTGCTGGTGTGTGAGGCGGGAGATGGCAGCTGGGCCAGTGCATCGGAGCCATGGCAGCTGGGCCAGGGCGGGCAGCGTCCTATGTACAGTTCACCACAGAGAAAGAAGACAAGGGCTGGACTGGAGGTCCTGCCCGTGTCTGGGGCCTGAAACTCCCCCTGGGGACTCCCAGCAGGGCCAGTCCACGTCCACAGAAGAGTGGCCCTACAAAGGCCCCTTGAACTGGTTCCCAGACAGGTGCTGCCGTATGGAGGGCTTGGAGCTGGCTGCATCTCCCAGCTTTCTCCAGACCACCTGTGAAGAGGACAGAGCTGTGAGTGGTGGCCTCACCCGCGTCCACCTGCCGGCTGTGTGCGTCCGCCGCCTCATCACGGCAGAATCACCCACGACCTCAGAGCCATGGGGCCAGGAGGGACGCCGAGGCCACTGCAGGCCCAGAGACACCCACATCAGGTCTTTGCATGCCCGCTATCGGGCCTGAGCAGGTCATTGCTGGGGTGTGGCTCAGCCTTGCAGCTGTCCAGTGGGGTCCATAAGCCCCACTAGGTGATGTGGGGGAGGGGCTGCACAGTTCAGAGCCCCTCGCCCCCATTTAAGCCCTGGGTTCATACCCTATGAAACTCCTTCCCCGATGGCTCCTGCAAGCACCCAAGGAGACCACTGATGGTGCTCAGCTGGGTTGGGCACGGGGCTCTCCTGGGCGGCCCCAGCCTGGCAGACTGAGGGTTTCCACCTGGACCTCCTGCTCTGAGCACCACCTGCCCAGCCAGCAGCCACGGGGGGCACCAGCAAGCTGGGAGGCCCAGGGGCCAGCACCCAGGGAACACCTGGGGTGAACAAACCAACCCCAGGGGGTGGGGGGCTCAGGCTCTGTCCAGAGCCCCTCATGGGGAGGGCAGATCTGCAGACACCACGGGCCCTCTGGGAAGGGCAGGGGGCAGTGAGGTGACGACCAGCCGGGGCTCTCAGTGCCTCCGAGGCCTCCCCTCAGCCATCCAAGGCCACTCAGCCCTCGCTGAGCATTCGAGAAATGGAGTCCCACATGGGGAAGGGTATGGCCATGCTGGGTGGCCCTGGTCACACTCCCAGTGCCAAGCCTCTGCCCCCCACCCCTGGAAGCCTCACGTTGCACATCTCGCGAACGATGGCCTTCTCCTTCTCACTCAGGTCCTCCTCGCAGCTGTCCTGGAGCTGCCGGTCCAGATTCTCATGTACCTCCAGGACCTGAAGGGAACGGGTCTTGGAGTCAGGGGCAGAGGCCACTGGCAGACCTTGGGCAAGTCACTTGGCCCCTGGGCCTCAGCCTCCCCTGCTGCACACCAAAGCTGAGGACCCTGAGCTGCTGGGCCCCTGGTGACAAGCGTGGAAAAAACTGAGGGGTAGGTCATCTTCTCACCCTGCTGACACTGTGGATGCCCTACAAAGGAAGCCCCTACAAGGGAAGCAGCTGATGGCTGGGCCATCTGAGAGGAAGGAGACAGGCTGGGCAGGGAAGACCCTCAGGTGGACTCACTACAACCCAGGGCCCGCTGGAGATGAGTGGGCACTCGCCACGTGGAGCGGGTGTGAGTAGGCATGGGCGTGTCCATGCACACATGTGGGATGTCATGGGGCATGTACGTAGGAGGAAGCGGGGCATGGGAGTGAGGACTGGGCTCAGGTGTGCACAGCCTGGAGAAACCAGAGCCCATCGGACTCACCTGTCGGCACCTGCAGAGGCTGGGCCTGGCAGACCTGAGGTTATTTCTAGCCCCACTCCTGCCCCTATCATTCTGGCCTTAGTAGGGTGCCTGCCCTCCCTGACCCCAGGCCTCAGTCTTGCTAGCTGCAGTGGCTCAAGGATGGCAGACAGGCGACACACTTATGACTGCCACCTCTGAGTTCTGCCTTCATGGTGCTCCAGGCAGCCATGGTCACCCAGCCACCCACACACAGGTGAAACCCCCCACCCCTGCCACTTGGATGCCCCCGGGTGCAAAGGTCCCACAGTCTCGCGGCGCACCCAGCATCCAGGGGCTCCTGAGGGAGCGGGTAGTGGCCCTTACCTTCATGGCGTGCACGACAGCCTCAGGCTTCTGTCCTGCAGGGCTGTAGCCAGCAGAGGGGGGCGAGGGCAGCTCAGGTGCGGGGCAGGCCAGGCCCTAGGGGAGGCAATCATACATCTCAGCTCACCCGGGCTGGCTCCCACGTGGTGGCCACAGGAATGACCGGTGGCTCAGAGAAGTCCCCGATTCTGAGGGGCCAGGGCCCAGGCAGGAGGAAAAGGGGACCGGGGTGAGGCAGAGGAGGCAGGTGTGAGGACGGAGACCCAAGGAGCCCGCAGCCCCATCTGGCCGGTCCCACCCGTCAGGTCTTCTGCAGATGAAATGGTCCTTGATAGCACAGAGGCGAGAGGGGCGGTCCAGGGCCCACCCATACCTCTCAGGCTCCCCTACCGCCCCGCACAGATAAGACCTAGCATCTGTTTTGCAGGGAAAATAAGTTCAGCCCAGGCAAGGCAAGAGACCCAGATTGCAGCAAGACCAGGAAGGTCTGGACTCAACCCTGGCACCTGACGCCAAACTCCCTTCCCCTGCCCACCCTGCAGCCCGGTTGGACGACGCTGGCTTCGCCCTGGGCACTCCTGGGGCCTGCCTCCTAGCTGCTACCTCCCAGTCCTGTGGGATGAATTGGCTGCCAGGTGCCCAGCTCCCCCATCAGGCCTTGGGGAGGGGACCCAGCCTCTGTCAGAAGCTGCGTGTCTACCCAGGGGCAGGTGGTCCCACCCCCAGCTTCCTGCCTCTAAGGGTCCATGTGGCTGGGAAGCCAGGCGCAGGGCTTCTTCTCAGGCTGCAGTGCGGACCACGGGGGCCCAACAGGAACAAGGAGTTCACAAGATGCTGGGAGAGCTTGGGAGGAACTTACAAGTGCCCAAAGCCAGACAGAAAACACGCAGTGGTGCCCTGTGGGCCCTGGAAGCCCTGGGGTTTTGAGGACATCTTCGGGGCTCCCCACTCTGGCAATCCTTGGGCCAACCCTGAAAGCTGAGTCTGCTGCCCTCTGTAAATGGGGTTCTAATGACGCCTCCCAATGGCCTGGCAGGCTCAGGGAGCTAGGCTGGAATCCCACCCACCCAGGCCCGCATCATGGGGCCACCTAACACTGCAGGGCTGGGCTCTGCGACCCTGAGGGCCCGGAAGCCCCTGCAGGCCTGGCAGCCAAACCCTGGTGCCCTCCCCGCCCGCCCTGGCCTGTACCTGCTCCCAGGGCCTTGCAGGTTGACCGGCTCCTGCCTCCACATGGAGACCAGGCCCCACCCCTGAAGCCAGGGGGCCTTGGGAGCAGCTACCTCCAGAGGCCCCCCGAGCCCTGGGGTCTAGGAAAGTGTCATTGAGGTGGGGCCCAACCCACGCTGAGCCTGTTTCCTTGTCTGGACAACAGAAAGAGTCCTCTGCCCAGGGTGTGTGCAGACCTCTAACTCCAGCCCAGGCTGTCGGATCTCTGTAGTGTAGGGAACCCAACAGGATGCCGGGCTTCCCCCTGGGGCAGCGCAAGGGGGCGCCCCGACCTGACGCAGAAGGCGGCACTCACCATGCCGGACAGCAGGGGGCGCCAGTCGCACACGCACAGCCCTGGGAAACCTGGGCACCTACACCTTCCTGCACCTTCCGCTGCAGAACAGAGTCCATGTGCCAGCTGGCCCCTGGCACCTCTGGCCTCATGTCCCCATCTGCACGAGGCCCCTGGGCTGCCTGTCCTGTTACAGCCCCCAGCTCCAGGGGACCAGGATTTCTGCAGCACAGGCAGGAGGGAAGCCAGGAGCATGGGGGTGGGCTGTGCAAGCCGCCCCTCTCCTGCCTACCTCAGTGGGCAGTGCTGGGTGCCAGTGAGGGCGTGGCCTGGGATCCTGAAAGTGACACCAGGACTAGACAAAATCCTAGTGTTGCCTCCAGGGCATTCCCAGGGTGCAGGGGCCCCCAACTGCACTAGAACTCAACCCCCTCTGGCCACACACACCTCCCACTGATTAGGTACCCACTTAGGGCGGATGGGCCCACTGAGTCCTTGCCACACTGCTCCTGGCAGGCACTATCTTTTTACATGTCCATATACGCCCACTTTTTTTTTTTTTCTGAGGCAGGATCTCACTCTTTTGCCCAGGCTGAAGTACACTGGCACCATCTCAGCTCACTGCAGCCTCAACCTCCCAGGCTCAAGCAATCCTCCCATCCCAGCTTCCAGAGTAGTTGGGACTACAGGTGCACACCACCATGCCCAGCTTTTTTTTTTTTTTTTTTTTTTTTATACAGACAGGGTTTCATCATGTTGCCCAGGCTGGTCTTGAACTCCTGGACTCAATCAATCCTCCTGTCTTGGTCTCCCAAAGTGATGGGATTATAGGCATGAGCCACTGAGCCTGGCCTACATGCCCACTTTACAGACAAGGAGAGTGAGGCTAACAGAATGGCTTGCCCAAGACCAAACAGCTTGTAAACAATGGGACTGGGCCTTGATCTCAAGTCTGTGGGACTCCTGAGCTGGTGCCCGAAGTGAGGATACCAGTGTGCACCAGAGAGAACTGAAAATAGACATCCACAAAATACCTGTCCCCAAACGCTCAGAGCAACACCATTCATGTGAGCCCAAACGTGGAAACGATCCAAATGTGCAGCAACAAATGAAGGAACTATGTATTCTACCCACACCACAGAATCGTATTCAGCCATGAAAAGCAATGGAGACCAACACAGGGTACCTGTGGTTGGACCCTGAGAACAAGATTCGGAGTGAAAGAAGCCAGACACAAAAGGCCACACGTCATGTGATTCCATTTATACGAAATATCCAGAATAGGCAAATCCATGGAGACAGAAAACGCCAACCAATCGGTGGTTGCCGGTGGCTGGGAGGAGGGGGATGGGAGTGATGGCTGATGGGTACTGGCTGCCTTTCTGGGGTGATGAAAATGTTCTATTGTGATGACGGCGTAACTCTGTGAGTGTCCTCCCTCAGGAGGCTGATGGTATAAACTGCCTCCCACCCTCCACTGGGGGCCAGCCCTGGGCACCTGCCCTCACAGCCAGCGGGTGGAGGGTACAGGCAGCAGAGGGCAGAGAGGGGGTGCCCACCCCAGAGAGTTACCTGCTTTACCCAAGGACTCTCCAGCATGCCCTTGCTGTGCCCATGACCCACAGGTAGCCTTAAAGGAGACTTGCCTGGGTCTGGAAGGGCCTGTGTCCCAGGCAGTGTCTGAGCCCGGAGACAGCCCTCCCCAGATAACCCCCTGTCTCTCCCCGGGGGTCCAAGTGCCGGACATGGGCTCTCCGGGACCCAGCGAGGGCCCACTGCCCTGTGAAAACTTCACAAGGCCTAGCCCCTGGGCCTCTGGCCCTGGCCCTGGCCCCTCCGCAGCAGCCACTTCAGCCACTTCTGCAGGCTTCATGGTGGCCCCTCCCACGAGACACCTTGACCCCTCAACACCCACTCCTGGGGGCCTGCCCACCAACCAGCCCCGATCCTGCCCCCTGCACCTCAGTTCATCACCCGGTCTCCCGGCCTCATGGAGGAATGACCCCTGCACAGCCCCCACGCTGGCCCCTGACCTCTAGGCACACACAGGCACCAGTATGCACTCACCACAGGGCCCTGGCCATCCTCCCCACCCCTATGAGCCTCACTTCCTCCTCTCCAAAGTAGGGGACACCCCCTGGTGCACAGGGCGGTCTAGAGGGAAAAAGGAGGCAAGGAGAACGAAACCCCTCCCAAGGTTGCCTCCTCCAGGAAGCCTTCCTGAACATTCCCGAACTCTGACAGCATTTTATCCACTGTCAGGCCTTGAGGTTCAACCCATGCCCGGGGTGTGCTCTCCAGAGGCCTACAGGGAGACAGCATCTGGCAGGCCTGGTGAATGTGAGAGCTGTGCTTGCACAGCACTTCCCAACCTGCAGGCCACTCGAAGGACTTCAGGACACAGCACTGAGCAACTGCTAGCTGCTATTACTCCCTCCCATGATCTGAATGGATGAGAGGCACGGGGCATGAAGGCTAAGGAGCCAGCCCCGAGGGGGCATCCCTTGGCTTTTCAGAACCCTCCACCAAGAAACAGTTAGAGCCTCGTTCAGCCGAGGGACTCCTGGATAAATGCTTGGAATATCGGCCATCGGCAGGCTTTGCTGCCTGCACAGGCTCTACAGCTGCATTCCTGGAGAAGGTGGAAGGGCCGCAAAAGAGAAATCGCAGAGCCAGCAGCCAGCACTGAGGCCCAGCAAGCTCTGCGGGGGGTCCTGGGGTCAGCCTTGCGGGCGAGGGGTGGAGGGGAGAGCAGGAAGGGGCACAGCTGCTATGAGGGCACCCACTGCCCAAGAAGAACCTCCATACATGGCTGTGCAGTTGCCGCGAGGAGAACAGCCAGTGCTTCCTAAGCATCAGCTACGCACCTGCCAGGGCTCCCCCAGGTGTTAAGCCCCACAACAAGGCGAGACTGCCAATGCTAGGAGGGCAAGTGGGCCTGGACTCCTGTGGCTCCCCACTGCCATCCCATCTATCTACAGGGCACATCCCTGAGCTAGGGTCCACTTCCCAGGAGCCGGCTCCAAGTCACCCACCCCGTTCCCTCCAGGCCAGGCCAGCCAGGTAGGGGCAGAGGATACCCCTGGAGGCATCCGGTTGGTCATTTCAGTGCAGAATCCACACACCTGAGCCCCACGCTCCAGGGCTGGCTGGGTACCCTCTCCCCACTGTGGCCAAGGAGTGGCGCAGGCTAATGAGCTGCTCAGAGGGACAGCGACTGGGCACGGGCAGCCCTGCACATGTGCCTCTGGACACTGCCCTGCACCTCCAGCAGCGTCACCCCACCGGGGGCTCCACCTCTAACTGCCACACTGGACGGGACACAGGGCCCAGGGCTGGGGCTGAACTCGGACACCCAGATCCTTGTGCCCACCGGGCAGGTCACTGGCCCACCTGAGCCTCAGCCCCTCATCCAGAACATGTGGGCTTCTTTGGGGCACACACTCACGTTCTGCAGGGAGTCCTGGTAGGAGGGCGGCAGGGACGCAAGCTGCGACTCTGAATGGTAGGGCGAGAAGCCTTTCCGCAGCGTGCGGCACTCTCCAGAGCCTGCCTGCTGCAGGGGAGAGAGAGAGAGGGGGGTTAGACGGAGGGCCAGGCTGAGGAGGCCAAGGGCCCTGGGCGTGGCTCCTCACAGCAGCAGGGTCTGCTCGAAGGCACGGCCTCAGAGGACCCCTCCACCCTCCCCTCCACACCCCTTATCCATCCCCCAAGCCGGGATCAATCGATCTTCACTCTCCCCAACTCAGATGTCAGCGATCCACTCTCCAATGTGGGCTTCGTAAACATTTGCTGGATGGCTGAATAAACAGAATGAATGAATGAAGGAGAGCCAGCGAGAGTCAGTGAGGAGGGAGCATCTCTCCCACCCCGAGACCCACCCTGGCTCCTCCGCTCCAACATCCTGCCCTTGGGTCCCTGCACAGACAGCACCCAGAGGGCCTGGGACAGCCATTGGCAGCACACGGGGCCACATCCACAGGCAAGGCCTCCCACCTCCCACGGGTTCAGGACTCTAGGGAGGCTCTGCCCGGGCTGCCTCCGCCATCGGACGGACAGGGAGCTCCTAAAGCAGGTCCTGGATGCTGCCTCTGAATCCCTGAGAACTCGTGTAAGGAGTTGTAACTAATGCCCTGTGCACAGGAGGGAGGGAGGAAGGCAGGCCTGGCCTTAGGCCCTTTGCTTAAGAGCAAAGCAAACACCCCCAACCCCCAGAAGTTGGGGCTGGGGGCTGGGACCAGGAGCCAGAATGAATCCACGGGTCCCATAAATGTCTCCGTGTGTGAAGGTCAGTCCCACAGTGACCCTCCCATGGCCCAGCCCAGCAGAAGGCACGGCCTTTCTTTCTGCTTCACTAAGGGGTTTTGGGTGTTTCTGGCCCAAACACCCTTTTCTACTTCAAAGGAACTGAGAGAAAGCGGCTGGGCAGATAAGACAGGCGGAATGTGCCATAAATCAGCAGGCTGTTGAGTCAACCCAAACAAACTGCAGAGGAGAAGAGACAGAGGAGGCCCGGGCTGGGGCTGGGCTGGGGCTGGGCTGGGGCAGAGGCACAGAGGGCAGGACAGGCCACAGCCATGTCTGGGGTCCCAGTTCCATGCACCAGCCCCTCGGCCTGGCTGTGAAAGATCCCCCACACACCCTGCTTGCCTCCCTCAAAAGCTGGACCTGGCTCCGCACTTCTCACAAGCCCCAGCCTCACTGAGGCCCAGCTCTGTGTTCTCCCAACCCCTTCAGAGCCCTGACCAGGCCCCCCACCGGGGCTGGGCGGTCTCAAGAGCATGGCTCAAGGGCCAGCAAACAGCCGTGTCCTTCGAGGCGGGTGAGGAGGGGAGTGGAGGCTTTACTACCAGCTCCCACGGAGGTCCGCGGAACCATGACCGGAAAGCAGGGATCCGGGCAGTGGCTCCCCTCATTAAGTAGCCCACACCCACCAGACGCTGGTCAGCCAGGGCAGCCGGGCACTGGAGGCTGGGGGCTGCTTCCTGGGCCTCGGGAGGACCTGGGTGTGGCCGAAGGTCGGGGAGGGGCATAAAGGAGAGAAGTGGGAACCAACCTTCCTGCAGGGCCCCCACAGTGTGGTGGGTTTGAGATAACCCTGGTGAGCATCGCAAATGGGTCTCAGCACGGGGACCTTGGGTACAGCCCTGAACCATCAAATGGGACTGCCGCGTCCCGACTACGGCATTAACCCTGGCTGACCCTGCCCGGGTTAACCAGAGGCACTCACAGCCCCCAGCCGGGGGTCAGATCAAGGAAAGCCCCACACACCCACCCACCAGGTACCAAAAAGAGGAAGAGGCTACAGCCCCCACCCCTAGGCCCAGCACTCACTCACCCTCCCCCACCCATGAGTGACACCCCTCCCCCACCCTATCAGAGCCACCCATGCCTCCCTAGGTCACCTCTCCTGAGAGATGTACCCCTAGCTCCACTTAAGGGGACAATTCCAAACCACCTGATTTTCTTGGCCAGGACTCTACAACAGTAAGAGAGTTACAAAATCTTCTCCAATGGAGAACGAATTCTAAGCCAGCACACACTCTGAATGCGTGCATGCACACACACACAGTCTGACTACTGGGCCACACAGCCAGGAAGGGTACACCTGGGATTGGAACCGCTACCCTCCCCTCCAGCCGGTCCTGCCCTGCCCAGCTTGTTTTGACTCGGGCGTCCCTTCCTCCCCATCCTCTCTGGCCCTCGACCAAATGGGCTCCCACGTGCTGTTACTGAAAACTCAGTTTGCGCTGCCGTCCTCTCCCCTCCCCCAGATAATTTCCCTAGGAGGAGGTGTGTGCATGAGCTTGAGGGAGGTTTTTAATTAGCTGCATGCAATTCCCACCCTTGCCTTCGGTGAGCCTCTATAAACATTTGCATGTCCATAGAACTTTATTAGCAAGCCACAAAGCCAGGCAGGAAAAACGCACAATCTCTCATTAAGGGGCAATGTGACTAATGACGCATCAAATGAGTAACCATTATTGCACTTAAATCCAAATTAAAAATCCTGCTATGAGACAGGTCGCTCCCTTTGCAGAATGAGATTCCCTAGGATTTCACCGAGGAGGGGAAACAGGAGCTGAAAGCACCTGCTGGGCTTGGTCTGCGAGAGAAGAGCTCGCAGCTAAGGAAGGTGCTGGCCCTTCCTGGGGGGTGCGGGGGTCCACTGCGCTCCCCAGAAACACCCGCCTGCCCAGTCTCCCTCGGGTGGCTCCCTCAGGACCCAGGGAGAAGGGATCTTACACACGGAGCTGCCAGCTCAGAGCTGAATCAAGATTTCCCGAATCCTTAACATGGTGGCCCCTTCCACTCTGGCCAGGCCCAATGCACATCACCCACTTCTAGGGCTTCCAGAGGGCAGCACGAGGGTCCTGGACTAGGGAGGAAGAGACCCAGGAGATTGCAGGGCCCCTTTCCCACTGAGGACTGCAGCTCAGGACACCCCCAGCCTATATCCAGGGCCTTGACTGCAACCCTGCCCGACTTGGGGCCCAGTGGGGACTCGCTGGGTGAACTCCAGTTGTTCCCTGGCCCTCTCTGGGCCTCTGCAATGCAGCCCCGCCTCCTCCCCGGCAGCGGGCTCGGGGGACTCCATCCTTCACCTTCCTGACTTCCCGGGAATTCCTGCCTGCAAAGCTGCAGGGGGCCTATGTGGGGCTACCCTAGGGTCACCCCTAGGGAGCACTGTCAGAGGGGGTGCTGAACAGGAGGATGAGACCTGGAGCCCACCCACTCCAGCCTGCCCACCTGAGGCTGCCTGTTTGGGAAGGACGGGTGGGGTGGCTGCGGGTACGAAGCCCCTTTCTGGGCTGTGCTCAGGGGAGCTGCTCTCACCCTGCTTCCTGCTCCCAAAGAGCTTTTGGGCCCTCAAATGTGCCTTCTGCTGCATCGCTTATGTGTCTAAGAGGCACAAACAGAGCACCTCCTGTGTGCCAGGCACAGTTCTGTGCCCCATCAGGGAGGCAACAGCTAAAGGGGAGTGAGGGCTGGGGGTGGGGGTAGAGGCAGGCGCTGAAGAGGGGGTGCCCTCTGTCCCGACCTGGCCAGCCTGCCCTAGTGACCACTTGGACCACCAGCCCCAGGGCCCCAGGCTGATTCATACGGAATGCCCTGGGAAGGAGTCCCCTTAGAGGGCCAGCTGGTGCGACTCTGGACCGGTGTCTTAGTGCTCGGTGCAGGGACGGGTGGGCACCTGCGAGGCTCCTCCTTCCTCAGCACCCTCCAGGATGCCCGACAGGTGAGCATGGGCCCTTGGCACCGTGTGGCACAGCACAGCTCGGCTCGGCTGGACAGCCAGGTGCGGCCAGGGTCCAGGACCACAGTGGACAGCAACGCAGCCACGCCCCCTTCCCCCTCCCAAATTTAGGTCATGCCAATGATTGCGTCTGACTTAGGAGACACTGTGGGGCTCAGGGAGAGGACCCCAACACAGGCCTCCCCAGCCCAGCCTCTCCTGGGTCAGGTGCCCTCCTGCTTCTGGCCTGCGGGGGCTCCAGGCGATCTGTCACAAGAGGCCAGTTTTACCCAGCTGAAGAGCTTGAAGGTGCCGTCTGCAGGGAGGGGCCTATGTCCACCCTCAGAGTAATGGGAACCTGGGCAGGAAAACGCCACAGGAGCCCAGGCCCCGTGCAGCTCCTGCCCGCGCTAACAACGCCTCTGCCCTGAGCTTGTGCTGAGATGGTCTCCAGATCCCCGTGGCCACTGCAGTCCCCAGGCTGGGACGGAGTCCAGGTTGGAGGACAGGAAGCTGGAGAGAGCTCCTTCCAGTTCACATTTCCCGCCAGTCCCACTCCCACAGACGAGCCATCATCCCAGGGGCTACGGAGGAGAGAGGTGAGACCCGGGGGCAAGGCCAGAGCCCAGTGGCCACCCCATCCCCAAGACGTGGTGACCTCCCTCCAGGAAGAGGAAGCACTGTGGGAGCTCCCAGGGTTGGTCAGTGACGCGTCATCAATGGTCTGGGTGCTGAGTAATAAACCCAGGGCCTGAGCGGCCTGTCAGGCTGACACCTCCCCCCAGGAAGTGCTGGAAGACGGTGCACCCTCAGCTGGCTGGGCTGGGGGACCCACCTGGAAGCAGAGACTCCAATGCAAGACTTGGGGAGACCATTCCCCCAGCAGGGGACCCAGCAGCTCCAGGGGCAGCTGGGGCCACAGACTAGCCAGGACTCCACTGTCCTGCTCCAGACTAAAGCCCACCGAGATTCAGCTGTCATCCATCTCGGGGGACCCTCAGAGGGAGAGCACAGAGAAAGCGGGGAGGATGCAGAAAAGGGCAGGGGACAGGGCTATGCAGCACAGCGCAGTAGCCTCCGCAGAAGACAGGCCTCAACCTGCCCCACGGGAACCACATCAGAGCTGTTCCCATGAGGGCAAGCGGGTTTGTGTCCACAAGTCAGTCAGTCATGCCTATGGGCTGCTCTGGAAGGGGGTGCGAACTCGGCACTGTGTAATGACATTGTGAGTTCACCGTCTGTCTGCGTGGCTGGACAGGTGTGGTTCACCTCCCAGGCCAAGCCCAGGGCTGGCACACAGTTGGTCACTGGTTCTCAAATGGGGGTGGCTCTGCCCCTAGAGGACAACTCGCAGTGTCTACAGACACTTTTTAGTGTCGGCTTGGGCATGGGGTGGAAGACCCCCGGAGGGTAATGCAGGGCAGGTATTCTGGGGCGAGCAGTCTCAGGACGGGGAGAAGGGGACAGAGATGAGACCATGTGGAGGCCTGAGAGCCGGCAGGAGAGTGGCCGGTGCCTAAAGGGCCTGGCTCCACGGGTCATTGGGCACAGGTGGGAACTCAGTTCACCCAGCAGTTCCCCAGTCCCATGCCCTGTCCAGCAGGGATCTGGCTGCAGCCCAGGGCGCCTGGCATGGTGACTCATGCTGGCCCTCAGAACTGTGCAACCCACGCAGAGCCCTCAGCCCAGTACCCACCCAGCTCAGCAGCGCTGGAGACTTCCCTCAAGGATCTAGGCAGCTTCCCACCAGGAGCCACAGCTGGGTGGGCATGTGGGCCCTGGCCTCGTCTCCACTAACTCACATAGACTTGCAAGCCTCTCCTCCCTCCATGCACTGCAGGTGTCTTGCTTCGAAGCGGGGATTAGCACCAGGATCCCAGGCACCTGGGCAAGGTGCATGACAAGGGGCTCGCACCATGGGGAGCCCTCAGGAGGCAGTCGCTGCATGACTCTTGCTATTATTTTGCAAAGCTGGAAGTTTTGCCAGTTAACGCCAGCTCCAGCTCGAAGAGAGGGCAGATCCCAAGAAGACTCCAAAGGTAGGGCCAGCGCAGCCTGGGAAGGAAGTGCTCCCAGGAAAGAACGGGAGGGTGCTGGGGACGGGGGGACAAAGCACACAGCAGCGCACAGCACTCAAAGCAGCCTCCCGACCCCCACAAACAGCACTGCAAACATGCCCCCCACCGGGCAGCTCTACCTGAAGCCAGCTTCTCGGGCGGCCATAGGGGCGGGGCAGCTAGAAGGAAGGAGAACAGTGTCACCCAGTAAATGCCAACCATGCCCATCACTCTGCCCAGTGCCTTCCCTGGACACCTATCAGCCCAAAGCCACCAGGACCTCAGCTGAGCCGGAGTGGTTTTCCCACACCGAAGGCCAGGGCTGGGGCTCGCCAAGGCAACTCCAGGAGCTCCATGTCTTCAGAAACTCCAGATTCACAAGGACTCACTGAGTACCTGCCATGTGCCCGGCACTGGGTCCCTAGGAGCGCCCACCACCCCCCAGAGCCCACCCCAAAACTCACACCAGGGTGAAGCCACCCCAAGTGCCCTGCTATCCTCCCAGGGAAAAGCAACCGTTTGAGAGGCTCTGGGATGGGGTGCCCCAGCCTAGAGGCACCCCAAGATCCCAGCAGCTCAGAGGGCCAGGTGGGGGAGGCACACCCTATCTGGCCCCTGTTCTAGCCTCAAGGCGAAGATGACCTGCAAGGTCGCGCACAAGAGCTACACAGTCATACCAACTGGATTTATTTTCTTTTTCTTCCTTCATTTTGAGAGAACTCGTTTGTAGGGGAAACAACAAACACTGGGGCATGTTAGGGGGGCGGGGGGTGGGAAAGCACAGGAAGAACAGCTAATGCATGCTGGGCTTAATACCTAGGCCATGGGTTGATCTGTGCAGCAAACCACCATGGCACACGTTTACTTATGTAAGAAACCTGCACGTCCCGCACATGTACCCCAGAACTTAAATAAAAGTTGATAGGAAAAAAAGGAAAAAAGAACAAAGGGGCTGCCGCTTCAGCTGGGGGTCCAGTGACATCTTCCCAATCTGCACTCAGATCAGGCGGTAGAGATGAAGGGTGCGGCCATGTGTGGCTGATGTCACTTACCTGTGGCTGGCACTGCTCTTCCCCTGGTCCCATGTCATTTCACACCCGAAATCCCATTTTTCAAACTCAGGTGTATGCACCATTCAGGGCCATTCGGCCTGGGACTGATGAGGTAACACGCAGACCAGGTCTTGTCCACCACGAGGACCATCCCTCCCTTCCCAGGTCCCTCTGCAGGCCCATTACTTGTTCCAGTGAGGTAAGTGAGGGACAGGCCTGTGGGAGGCTTTGAGGTGTGTAGTTTTTTTGTTTGTTTGTTCGAGATGGAGTCTCACTCAGTCACCCAGGCCGGACTGCAGTGCTGCAATCTCGGCTCACTGCAACCTCTGCCTCCAGGTTTCAAGTAATTCTCCTGCCTCAGCCTCCCAAATAGCTGGATTACAGGCGCCGGCCACTACGCCAGCTAATTTTTGTATTTTTTTAGTAGAGACGAGGTTTCACCATGTTTGCCAGGCTGGTCGCAAACTCCTGATCTCAGGTGATCTGCCTGCCTTGGCCTCCCAAAGCGCTGGGATTACAGGCGTGAGCCACTGCATCCAGCTGAGGGGTGCAGATTTGCAAAACCTAAATCCTACCTTGGCTGAGTAAGCCAGAGCAGCTCCTCAACTTTCCGGGCCTCTGTTTGTCTGCACATAAACTGGCGTCAGGCGGAGGCTGGCAGAGGCTACGGCTGGCCCACAACGGACAGGAAAGATCACGGTGGTTAACCCGCCACCCTTACCACTGACCACTCGACTCCCAGTCCTTTCCACAATTTGCCTTTTCATTCTCTGAACAATGTATGTGTCAGACACCATTAGTGTCCCCATTTTGCAGAGGAGGAAACTGAGGTGCAGAGAGGTTAAGTGACCTGTCCAGTGCCACTCTGCTGGCAGGTGGCACCAGTGAGACTTGAACCAGGCCCTCTGGCACTGGCATCCTGCACTTGGCCTGTCAGCCCTGGTGACTCTCCCCCAGCATCTGGCTCACGGTGGACACTCCTTACACTGCTGGTTCTAGGGCATGGAGGTGGAATTTCCCGTCTCCATTCTGCCCACGTTGCGAGACTGACCATCTGTTCATTGGCTGGAAGGCTGGAAACAGGGGGTTTCCTCTCTGGGCAATGTACAGGCTGGACTGACTCTGAGGTTCGACTAAGGAAGCGTTTAATGTCCTCCAGAGACCCAGAGACTATACTGCCTATAACAGAGGTGACAGGGGCAAGGCGGCCAACCCAAGACACCAAACACGCAGAGCAGGGAAGGGCTCAGAGCCTGCTACCAAGGCATGGACACGCCAACCAACAGATAAGCCCACGTGGACCACCGCGAGGCCAGCATCTCCGGAGGAACCCGGGCTCTGGACAGCCCATCCTCCTTGGGACACAGAACTGAAGCGCTGGCCATGGGTTGAGACAGTAGCAGATTGATCCCCTCGCCCCCCCGCCTGGATGGGCTCAGAACTCAAAGGACAAAGAGCAACGGTTCCCTCGGGGACGGGCCAGGCCCAAGGGGCAGCAGAGGGCACATGGTCAGCCGGACCACGAAAGATCCCAGGCCCTTGGGACCACCCGGGGTGCTTCCCAGGGGCCACGTCACGCTGTGCTGGGCATTCCCATCACCCCTGTCTCCCAGGTGAGGACCCGGAGGCTCTGGGAGAGAGAGGATTTCACCTGAAGCCACACAGCAGGTGAGCGCTGGGGCGGGGGCTATTGGAGTTTACAGGGAGAAGAGCCTGTCTACAAGCCGGAGAGAGGCCTCGGAAGCAGCCAGCCCTGCTGATACCTCGATCTCAGACTCCCACCTCCAGGACTGTGAGGAAATACATTTCTGTGGTTTAAGTCCCCCAGTCTGTGCAACTCTGTTATGGCAGGCCTACCAGACGAATACAACATCCATGTCAGGAAATTCACCTTCACCCAGACCTCAGTTTCCCCATCTGTGCCTGGTGTGAATTCTGGGTCTCTTTCAGCGGCCTTTTGGTACGTGGCAGGCCAGGGGAGAGGTGGGCACGGGTGGGGAGGGGGCGGGAGCAGGGGGCGCCGGGGGCCCTTCAGTCACCAGCCCAGACCCCAGCCTCGCTCCCCAAGCCGGCCCTCTGGTCTAGGGAGAGAGAATATTAGGAGAGCTCCTTGCTCTTTTGTAAAGCTGGCTTTTTTTGGCGCACAACGGAGGCTTCATTTATCAGCCCAGCAGGGGAGTTAACGAGAGGCCCCAGCATCAATTACAGCCGCCCCCAGCCCAGCCCGGCTGGGCACAGAGAATCCACAGGAAAAATAATAACGCGCACGGAGTCTTGAGATGAATCATCGCGGAGGAAGCAGCTGTGTTGATGAAATTTTAAAGCCAACATGAGAAAGAAAATACGAACAGCAATACAGTAATTGAGTCTGTGAACATGCTGGCACATTTTTAATTAAAGCTATTTTGGAGTTAAATAGAGGCCATGGGTGGGGGGAGGTGGGACCATGGGGAGTGGGAATCCGGGGAGGCTCCCTACCCTCCCACCGAAACCCCAAAGCCACGTCACCTTATGATATTCCAGAGAAGGGCACGCCTCTGCCCTGCTTTTCACCACAGGAAGAGGCCCTGCTTTGCGCAGAGGTGGGGGTTTCTGTACAATTTGATTTCCCTGACAAGATTTAAATGCCAGAATCACAGAATCTCACGAGCCAGAGTCCGTGAGGCTTAGGACAGCATCTCATTCAAGGCTGCGATCTCTTTCTTCAAGATTCCCGGCTAGGCGCGGTGGCTCACGCCTGTAATCCCAGCACTTTAGGAGGTCGAGGCGGGCGAATCACGAGGTCAGGAAATCGAGACCATCCTGGCCAACATGGTGAAACCCCGTCTCTACTAAAAATACAAAAAATTAGCTGGGCATGATGGCGGGCACCTGTTGTCCCAGCTACCGGGAGGCTGAGCCAGGAGAATGGCGTGAACCCGGCAGGTGGAGCTTGCGGTGAGCCGAGATTGCACCGCTGCACTCCAGCCTGGGTGACAGAGCGAGACTCCGTCTCAAAAAAAAAAAAAAAATAGATTTCCAACCATGGTCACCCAGCCATCTCTTGGTGACCTCCAAAGATGGTAACCTCACTGCCTGCTGAAGCCCTCTCTTGGTTAAGTGGGCCTTCCTTATTGTGAGCAAGAAGAGCTTCCCCTCTTGGCCATGGAGACTGGACAGGGATCAGCCACAGGATCCCCAAGGCACATCCACCCAGTTCAACCATGCTGAGCACTGGAGACACAGATGTGGCCACTCAGGCCCTGCAGCCCTGTCCTGGAAAAGATGACAGTCCCACAGGGGTGGGGACCAGGATCCACAAGGATAGGTCATGACACCCTATCAGCAAAGGTGGGCAGCCCAGGGACTGAGAGAGCTCAGGGCAAGCACCAGACCTCCTATGGGTAGTCAGGGAGGGCTGCAGACAGGAGGCCAGGAGAACAGAGACTAAGTAAACCCTATCTTCCTGGTGCCTCCCTGAGAACGGGGCCACCACTGTCCTCGCGGGCAGGGCCCTGCCATAAGCTCTCTTCACCTCCCCTATCCTCCAGGGGCCTCTCTGTGCATGTGGGTCCTGCAGGCTGGACAAGGTGGTGGTCAAGCAGGAACAAGGGTGAGACTGGCCTGCCAGCTCCCTGAGGGCAGGCCTCTGCCTGGCCAGCCCTGCATCCCCAGGGCCACGTACATAGTAGGTGGTCAGCTACACACTGAGTGAATGAGTGCCCACTTCTCAGTCCAGCAGAGACCTGGGAGAGAAAGTGGCCTAAGGATCCCCATAAAGCTGGTGCCATTGAAGCTGCCCCAGGAATCCAAAGGCAGGCTTGGGACCCACTGCTGCCCCTCCCTCACCCTGCCTCTCTGTCTCTCTCTCCTGCATGGCTCAGCACAGCAGTGCCCTCCTCCGTGGCCAGCAGGAACCCTGCCCATGATCCCAGCTCCTCTAGTTCCTCCTTTTTTCTTTTTTGAGGTGGAGTCTCACTGTTTCCCAGGCTGGAGTGCAATGGCGCAATCTCGGCTCACTGCAACCTCCGCCTCCCCGGTTCAAGCGATTCTCCTGCCTCAGCCTCCCAAGTAACTGGGATTACAGGCATGTGACACCATGCAAGGCTAATTTTTGTATTTTTAGTAGAGACGGGGTTTCACTGTGTTGCCCAGGCTGGTCTCAAATTTCTGACCTCAAGCGATCTGCCCACCTCAACCTCCCAAAGTGCTGGCTTTACAGGTGTGAGCCACCACACCCAGCCGTGGCTCCCCTGGTTCTGCTGATGCCATGGGCTCTGGGGATGCCACCAGCTCCTGGAGCCTCAGTTATGAGGTTCAGGGGCCTCCACTGCAGCATGGGGACAGGGTGAGGAAACCATGCAAGCACCAGGGGCCAAGGCCCCAGCAGCATACATCTGCCCTCTTTCAGGGTGCTGGGTATGGCCCTGACACCACTTGCTGGGAGCCCCGGGGCAAGACCTTTGCCTGCTGCAGAGTCCATGCTGAGAAAGCAGCTAGGGATGGGCCCTGGGTGCCCTCCTGCCACACCACACAGAGATACAAGCTCCTTCAGCCACCACTCCAGCAGCATGGCTTGACCGGGCATCATTTGGGGAGAAAGCAAATTTCTGCTAAGGAAACGAAACATTTTGCTCCCTTTTCGCACTGATGATCTCTGAGTTCCGCACCCTGGTTGTATGTAACAACAAGCAGGCAACAGCAGGTTTCTGCCCCTAAATTCCAGTCCAACTGCCTGCAGCCAGCAAGCCTGCGTCCAGGCAAGCGCCAGCAGCTCCCCAGTCATTAGGATCTGATGTTGGTGCCCTGCAGGCCTGGCCCACAGATGAGGATGTGAACAGAGCCCTGCTGCTACCCCCAGGGAGCAGGTGGCAGCAGGCCTGGGGAGGGAGAGAGCCCTGGGCAGAGCCAGCCACTCCATCCTTGGGGCTCAAGGCTGAAGCTGCCATCCACCTCCACCTGTGCACAAGTGGGTGCAGGGCAGGCGGACACAACTTATGGTGGAGGGCCCCCTGTGAGACCAGAAGCACCCCAGGAAGGAAGGCAGAAAGAAGGGCTGCTCCTCCACAGCCCACTTGGGTTCAAGTTTTCTGCAAGTACATGGTCAGGAACTGGGGTGTATTTTTCCAGTGGGACACCGTGGCCTGCAGGGGCCAAGGGGTCAGGCACACTCCTGTCCTTGTGGAAACAGGACCATGAGCTGCTCTCTGGTTGGACTGCGGAACACACTTCTCATAGAAATAACACTGCAGGGCCGGGCGTAGTGGTTCACGCCTGTAATCCCAGCACTTTGGGAGGCCGAGGCGGGAGGATCACCTGAGGTCAGGAGTTCGAGACCAGCCTGACCAACATGGTGAAACCCCTGTCTCTACTAAAAATGCAAAATTAGCTGGGCGTGGTGGCGCATGCCTGTAATCCCAGCTACTCGGGAGGCTGAGGCAGGAGAATCACTTGAACCTGGGAGACAGAGGTTGCGGTGAGCTGAGATCACACCATTGTACTCCAGCCTGAGCAACAAGAGCGAAATTCTGTCTCAAAAAAAAAAAAAAGAAAGAAAGAAAAAGAAAGAAAGAAAGAACACTGCAAACAGCATCCCAAATTCAGAGCTGGAGCTTCCAACCCACTTCTCCACAGGAACAATGAGACAAAGAAACTCCAGATCAGGGCAGACGCGTGAGGTCACTGACCCGGGGGCCCGAGCTTCAGCCACCAGAGCATGGTCCTGGCCCTCACTCTGCAGAGCAGTAGCCCCCTGCCACCACCCAGAGGCAGGACTCCCTCTCCTACACACTGCATGCGGACTTTCTCCAAAGCAAAGGTCCCTGAGCCACGACCTTCTCCTGGTGTCACTTCTGCCTGCAGCGCCCGCACACCCTCCTTAGCAACCACAATGGCCCCACCAGGCCTGCAATGGAAGGCTTGCGTCTAGGGAGCCCTGCTCCACAGACAGGTGCGACCCCAGCCCCTCCTGCCCTCACCAGCCCTGGGAAGCCAGCCCGGCCTGTGGCCAAAGCCCTTCGCCACAGGGCACCTGACAGCAAGGCATGAAATTACAAAAGCCAGCCTTGCCATTCAGAGCTTGGCTATGCACTTGCACGTGTATGTTGGCGGGGGGGCGGGTGGGAGCGGGGTGGAGGAGAGTTCGCAAGAGGCCAAATGGGGAACATGTACCCTGCTAAGTCCCACCAGGCCCTGGGAACCTACCCCACGGCCCACGCAGTGGGGGCCTGAGGGGATGACCTCAGTGGGAGCTATGCTCCCTGCAGGGCCCGTGAGCCTCCCAGCAGCTGCCCAGTGGGCAGAGAGGGTGCCATGGAATTCCTGAGCTGGGCACTGGGCACCAAGCCTGGCTGGTCACCTAGCAACAGGGCCAGGCAGCTGAGCCATCCCTGTGGTTGGTTCCCAGAGAAACGCTTTGGGTATCCCAGGCTGACCGCTCATGGCCCAGTGGGAAGAGCAGGAAGAGGGAGACTGGGATGAAGCCAGGGATGCGCAGGAGGGCTTGGAGGCTGGGGGAGTGAGCAGCTTGAGGGGCCGCCAAGCCAGCTCGCCCCCAACACCCAATCGAGACTGCCCACAGCCTCCTCTCGGCAGCCCCCATGCCTGCCCCACCTGCAGCAGGGAAAGCCCTTGTCCTGGCAGTCACACGTCCCCTCCAAGCTCCAGCCACACTCAAGAGGCACAGACCCTCATCCAACCCCACCTACCCCCTGCAGCCGACCCCTCCCACACTGTGCCGCTGCTGCCCAGCTCTGCACAGGGTAGCAGCCTCATCTGTCTGTGGGTGAGGCCGGGCCCAGGAGGGAGGAGGGGACCCCAGCCCAGGGAGGAAGCGGCCAGTAAGTCCAGCATGGCAGAGGCGGGGAGGCTTCCATGTAAGTCTGCCCCATCTCCTGCCTGGATCTGCCCGTCTGCCAGAGGAGTGAAGCAGCCCATGTCTTCACCAGCTGGGTGTTGTCCACCCTCTCAGGCCCTGGGCCAGCCCCGAGGAGCTCGCATACCGGGCAGTCAGCATGGAGGGCTGGGCGGAGGGAAGCCCAGAGGCGTGGGAGCCAGGGTTAGGTCCCTGGCCCCACTTTCCAGGAGGTGACGGGTGGCAGTGGGAGCAGGTCGGGGGAGGGCATGGGTCCCAAGGGGAAGGGTGCCCTGGGTGAGCTGGAGGGGTGGGCGCTGGGTCACGGTCCTCAAGGCAGCGCCACCCACAGCCGGCCTACCTGTGCGAGGAGCTTGTCACCCTCCAGCAGCCTCACTTTGCTCTCCAGTTGCCTGATGTAGGTGGATGAGGGATCTGGAAGGACACAAGAGGAAGGGGGACATTAGCCTCCAGCAGACTCCATCCCCAGTGCAACCACAATGGCCCCACGAGGCCTGCAATGGAAGGCTTGCGTCTAGGGAGCCCTGCTCCACAGACAGGTGAGACCCCAGCCCCTCCTGCCCTCACCAGCCCTGGGAAGCCAGCATGGCCTGTGGCCAAAGCCCTTCGCCACAGGGCACCTGACAGCAAGGCATCAAATTACAGAAGCCAACTGGCCTCACGCCTGGCATGGAAGGTTTGGGTCTGAGGAGTCCCACCCCACAGCCAGGTGAGACCCCAGCACCCCCTGCCCTCATCCGCCCTCCGGAAACAGCATGGCCTGTGGCCAAAGCCTTCCCGCCATAGAGCACCTGACACCAAGGCATGACACACAGAGGCCAGCCTTGCAGGACCCACCCGCCACCCTCACTGTGGTCCTCTGAGCTGTTGTCAGGACCTTCAGGACCTGTGGAAAGGTGAGGGGCGGGTGGCCTCGCCAGCCTGTGCTGGAGCAAGTCCTTCAGCTTCCAAGATGCTGCAGGCTCAAACGGAGCTCTCCTAAACACAGCCAGGTCACAGCCCACCCCAGGGTCGGGGTCCGGGGAGCCCCCTCCCCTACACAGTGGGGAAACAGCCTCCTGAACTTGCCAAGTCAGCATCTGGGATCCTTCACCTGATCACCCAGGAACTTCTCACAGGAGACGCGTGCCTGCAGCATATGCTGCAGGTGAGCAGCCACCTTCCCCATACGACAGTCAGGAACCCCATGGAACCCCCCGGTCACATGTCCCCAGTTTCTGACCTCAGGCTAAGGGAGCCCAATCTGTGCAGACCACTGGTGCAGGTGAAATTCACCCACCCTCACCACTGACCCTGCTTTCCAGTCACGTCAGGAAAACACAAAAATATCCCATCCCCACCCCCACACCCAACACCCAACCATCCCACACCCCTGGTCCTGCCTCCCCCCAGGCCGGGAGTCAGCTCAGCCCCCAGGATGCCCAGAGCAAACCCTCAGGGCAGAGGGCTGGGGGAAGGGAGGAGAGGCAGGAACGGGACAGAGGCAGAACACCGGCCGGGTCACCCAGCGACAGCAGGTTTGGAAAAGAGGCAAGGGGGTGGCAAGGCTGTCCCAAGCACCCCTGTGGGCCACGAAGCCACCTGGTAAGGGATGGGCTATTAACACCTCTCCCCGGAGATCACCTGGCCCAGATAGATGCCAGCCCAGACGCCATCCACCCCGACGGCTGTCCACCCACCGGCCCACCCGACAGCAGGACGCAGGGTCTTCCCAGGTTCATGCCGCTGACCCTCGACTGCAGAAGCAGACACATCAGCCCCTTTGACCACACACAGCCAGCTGTCTAGTCCCCATCACCACCTCAGGGCTGGGGATGGACTCTACAGGCTGTTAACATGCCTGGGGGTGCCGGGGCTTGGGTGCATCTGGGGACAAGCCAGGACCGCCATGCCAACCACACGACCAATGAAGCATCTGTCCACCCCCAGCACGCCAATAACAGGATGCCTGGGAGCCCCCTACTCAGCCCTGGACCAGGCCCAGGGCCCAGCAGAGCCACTGGCCCAGCCACAGGCAGGAGCAGGTACTGGAGCCCCGCCCAGACACACTCACTGCTGGGGAACACTGCAAACCAGCCTCCCCTCCTCCTGCAGCCCAGTCACCTCCCAGGAATGTGGGGCCTTCTAGAGAGGAGAGAAGGGCGGCTCCCCATCCAGGCCCAGCCTCCCCGCCCTGCCAGGCAGGCCACCCCTGCCCTCAGGATGACCTCAGGGCCTCACACCTCACCAGCCCTGATCCCTCCCTCCCTGGCCTCAGTTTACTCATCACTCTGTCAATCCTGACAAGCAGCTCCCAGGCCCACCCCAAGCAAAGAGGTGTGATGGCAAGAGGCCTCAGCATTCAGGCTGTGCTGTGTCCCTCTGAGCACGGGGAGATGGGGTGCAGCCTAGGCTCCCCAAACCTTCATGTCCTATACCCCACTAACAGGAGGGCTCCCTGGAACACAGTCCCGGGAAGCAGTGACCAAGTAAACTGCAGAGACCCTTCCAGCTCCCTCACTCTGACAGAGCTAGGACAAGAACGCTCCAATGACTACAGACCCACGTGTGGTCTCCTTCTGGGGGCAGTCGGGTGGGGGGAGCCCACTGTCCCATATGGGACACATGATGCCCCCTGCATCTGGTGCCTTGCAAAGGACAAGCAGCCACCATCCTCATTTTCCAGGTGCAGAGGCCACGAGGAACAAAGTGTTCCCACCACCAGCAGGTGAGCCTTCCAGCCCCTCTCCCCACCACCCAGGCCCACCCCACAGGTCAGTCTTTGGGACCCAGTGTTTCTGGCCGCCTTGGGCAGAGCTGACAGCCTCAGCCTTGGAAAGAAGCTGGCAGAGACTCAGAAAGAAGACGCCATTCCCAGTCACACCGCTCTCCCGAAGGCTCTCTGCAGTGCAATCCTCGCACAGCCACAGGGCCCCTGCTCACCACAGCACCCCCATGGGACAGTGCTCCCGGGGGCAGCCCTGAGCCAGAGGGAGGACCCAGCCACTGTGTGTGACCAACAGCCCAAGACGGGCACTAACTTGTCCTCTGCCCTTCACTGCCACAGAACCATTCAGGAGGTGGGTGCACTTTCAGCCGCCCGCCTCCCGCTGCTGGTTCCCACAGGGTGAGCAAGGAGCTAGCTCCCCGCACTTCCCTCTCGGTGAGCCCACAATCGGAGGAGGGGTGGGCTGAAATCCGAGTCCGCAGCTGCCCCGTCAGCCTCAGCACCCTCACTGGGTGCCCCTGCTCCAGTCTGAGCAGTCAGCCCCCTCAGATACAACTGGGGTTTCACACCCACCTCCCAGGAAGGGTTAAAGACAGTGATCAGGCTGGCAGGCGGCATCAGGAGAAGGGACGCAGACAGGCCATCCCACAGGTCACCAGCAACGCCCTGCCTGCCCATAGCCAGCACCTCACCTCAGGGCCCACAGGCCACCGTCCCCCACATTGGGCCACCTGTAGGCACAGACAGGTGGCCACACGCCCATGGCCCCAGACCAAGGGGCTGCCCCTGACAAACCCGTCTGTTCAGGTTTCCCCCAAACCCCAGGCAGCTATGCAGAACAACATACACTGCAGACCGCCGGGCTTTGTTGGGTTTTTCTTTTAAATTTCAAAATAACAATACAACAGTCTTAAAACAGATTTTAGACCATCCAGTAATTCCAATGGAATCTATCCTAAAGAATTAATTCCAGGCTGGGTGTGGTGGCTCATGCCTGTAATCCCAGCACTTTGGGAGGCCGAGGCAGGTGGATCACCTGAGGTCAGGAGTTCAAGACCAGCTTGACCAACATGGTGAAACCCCCATCTCTAATAAAAATATAAAATTGGCTGGGCATGACAGCAGGCGCCTGTAATCCCAGCTACTCAGGAGGCTGAGGCAGGAGAATCACTTGAACCCGGGAGGCAGAGGTTGCAGTGAGCTGAGATCGCACAACTGCACTCCAGCCTGGGTGACAGAGCGAGACTCCATCTCAAAAAAAAAATTAATTCTAATTATGAAGAAAGCAGACTGTTAGAGTGGCCAAAACTGGAAATAACTATTTGTCCAACAACAGCTGAGGGTTCTACCCTGTCATCATTACAATGATGTTTAGAAAGAGTTTGTCTCCTAAACAATATGGAAAAACACTTAAAATGCCAGTGGAAAGAACTGGACACAAAACGACATGCACAACGGCTGCGACGTTTAAAAATATCCACGCATTGACGTGAGTTCAGGAAGGAAGTCCACAGAAATCCTGACTGTGCGGCAGCTCAGTTGAGGGAACCAGTGGGTTTTTATTTATTCACATCGTTTACTGGTAATTTTCAAATAATCGACTTCTAATCTAGTTCTGAAATCCTTCTTTCAGAAAAAAAGAATGGCCAGGTGCGGTGGCTCATGCCTGTAATCCCAGCACTTTGGGAGGCCGAGGCGGGCAGATCACCTGAGGTCAGGAGTTCAAAACCAGCCTGGCCAACATGGTGAAACCCCGTCTCTACTAAAAATATAAAAATTATCTGAGAATGGTGGTAGGCACCTGTAATGTCAGCTACTCAGAGGTTGAAGCAGGAGAATTGCTTGAACCCAGGAAGCAGAGGTTGCAGTGAGCCGACTGCGCCACTGTACTCTAGATGGGCGACAGAGCGAGACTCTGTCTTTAAAACAAAAAAAAAAGAGAACAGATTAAACTCTTGCACCTCCACATTACATGCATGGCCACCCACTGAAGCACCTGACACTTTAAACCCAGCACCCTGACCCTCTCCCACACTCAGCTCCCTGGAAGAGCTCTCCAGGCTGCCAGGAGCCAGTGAGCCAGGCATCAGTCACCCTTGGGTCAGGAGTAGGCACTCTGCAGACAGGAAGAACAAGAGTGATCCGGGCACTCCCAGTGGGGGCTGGAGAGCAGAAGACCCCGGGAAGGGCCGGCTCCTGCGGAGGACTATCCTTCCCGGCAGCCTCAAAACTCGTGATCCCACTGCGTGCCAAGCCCCAGCCTCTTGGAGATGAGCATGTAATTAAATTAATCCCAGGGTTTACAGTAATGAGCGCTGGAGCCACAGGGGAGGGGACATCACTTCGCAGCTTGGCTGCCTGAGGGCAAAATGAGGGAGGTGACCCTGGGCTGGCCTGGCCAAGGGGTCCCCTTGGGTGCTCCCCTAACCCCTCTGGGGGCCATCGGACCGATTCTGGGGGATTTCCTATCCAGCTGCCAACCGGGGAGGAGGGTGTCTCTCTACAATGTTCTCGTGTCCAGGAGCCAGACCTGAGCCCTCCTCACCCCGCCCTCTTCCTGGATCCCTTGCTCCCATGAGGAGGAGGTGGGGGGAAGCTGTGCAGCACGGTAGGCGAGAGTCACACAGCCTGCAGGTCTGCCAAGCCCTCCCCACTGGCGCTGTGCTGGCTCCATCCCAGGCACCCTGCGCTGGGTCCTGCCACTAGG